TTTTTTTTTTTTTTTATTCTTTCGGGGTGTGGGTTAGGGTTAGGTTACAACATTTATAACTATAAAAAAAAAATTACGCCTACAAAAAATCCCATTTTACGTAAACATGTGCGTATGTGCATGCTTGTGTGTGTGTGTGTGTGTGTGTGCGTGTGTGTGTGTGTGTGTGTGTGTGTGCACGCGCGTGTGTTTGTGGTTTGTGTGTGTCAATAGTCAGGTATCTCTTAACTCCCCAAACCAGATTGCTCTGCTCGTTCTTCACATTCAAATGCTTTTTTTCCACCTGCACATATTCATTGTCTCCCCTCTGTCAAAAACCCCACCCTCTCTATCACGGCCATATATCTGGACGTATTCAAACCAGCCATCTAGTGTGCTGCAGTTCAAAGACCCGTTCGTTTTAGAAGAGCTTCTCTGCTGTCAGAATTCAGTTCTGCTGAACACCTTGTCAACATGATGATCAGAATTGTGCTTGGAGTCATTGCAGCGATTGGATTCCTCACTCTCAGTAAGTCTACAATAGGTCGTTATCATCCCCTCCCCTAAGTTAATGTAATATTTCAGATTTTTAAATATTTTTATAGAAGCCTCTCCAAGGTGGCATTTACTTGAATAAAATACAATAAAAAAGTAATGCTGAAAACTATTATTACAATTAAAAATAACTTTTCTATTTGAAAATATTTTAAAATGTAATTAATTCCTATGATGGTAAAGCTTAATTTTCAACTAAATAATGTCACAATAGTACAAAATACTCTGCTAACAATTTCACAGTACCAGTATACATGGCTGACATTTGTTTGAGGAGATTGTTGTGATGTAAATAATTTTTTAGAATGTTTTAAGTGTTTGTTTTTTAAGAGCAAAAAAGGATAGGTTACATCAAATGAAAGAAACATTGTTAATGTTATTAAGAAAGAGTTTTACTGTAATGTCTTTGATTTAAAAATACCATTATTTAAACAGGGCTTTTTGGTAACACTTTAGATTTGGTAACACTGTTCACTATTAAGTAGTTGTTTATTAGCATGCATATTACCAGCATACTGTCTGTTTATCAGTACTTATAAAGCACATATTAATGCCTTATTCTGCATGATCATTTTCTAGATCCCTTAACCCTACCCAATACCTAAACATAACTACTACAACAACTACCTAACTACCTTACTTACCTTAACCAGTAAATAAGAGTTTATTGAGGGAAAACACAAAAGTCTAAAGGTTTCTAAATTGTGTTGATTGAAATTAGAGTAAAAGTAATGAAGTTATTGTTGAAGCATAAGAAAACTGCTTGTGATAAAGGGAGGGAAAATGTTAGGTTATTGACATTGGACCAGCTTGACACATTCGATTACCAGACTCACAACAGTCCGGGGTTTTTTTTCAAAATATTTGTAAACACAGTATCAACTCGTTGACATTATGATAATGCTGTGCTGTTCTGTTTTTAATCTTTTTAGTGGAATATAATGTACTATCATTCAAAAATGTGGACATCTTGTGTGTGTGTGTATATATATATATATATATATATATATAGAATTACTCAAGCAGTCACTCCATAAAAGTAATTGTGTTCTCACACCAAATCAATGTGATTTTAAATGGATTACCCAGCCCATTTTGGGGAGGGATATTTTTTTAAGTTTATAAGAATGCTTATTTCATGTTGTCATTCTGTTTCTCCAGGTGAAGCCCTGACGTGTAATTCGTGTAAAGTGGGCATTTTAGGCAAATGTTTATTGAGTTCCCAAGTGTCCTGTGCTGCCTCCGAGCTCAACTGCTTCACTGCAAAAGCAGGTCAGTCAATACACACACACACACGCACACACATGTTGTGTATTCATCACGCACGCGCGCACACACACACACACACACACACACACACACATAGTTGTTAAAGCACAACCCTACGCCTAACCCTCACCCAAAACTGTTGATATTAGTGCTGTAGATCAAACAAAACATGATTTAGGCTATTTATTACACTTTCATATAGTTAAGGACCACTTCAGGTGCCCTCATAAGTCGGCTTTAACATGCCGAACCCATACATATAATACACTTTTAAATTAAAGGAGAACATTCCATATTTTATTCCACATTCCAGTACATTTAATATTTTATATCTATAAAGATATAATATTTTAGTCTATAAAGACTAAAGAATTACCATACATTTTTTTTTAAAAACAAAGCCAGAACTGTTACAAAGTGACTTAACATAGATTTCTGTACTAAAATATGTTGGCTGGTTTCTGAAAACATTATTATTTTTATTAATAGTATTATTTATAATAATAATAATAATACATTTTGACATCTTGCTCCTGCTCCTCTCTTCGCAGAGTTCAATGTGACTGGGTTTCTGAGTCTGTCCTCAAGTGGCTGCACATCTGATTGCAACAACACCGCCGGGACCGTCATGGGAGCGGGATACACCGTGACCAAAACCTGCTGCGCCACAGATCTGTGCAACGGAGCGAGTGCTGCGCAGCTGTCCATGGCTGGGGCTCTCAGCGCCGCACTACTGGCCTCTGTCTGCAGTTACATGCTGTAGATGTTACACCTCCTTGTCTGCACACTGTTATGTTCACAATACCTCCTTTAATCGGAATCAGTGAAGATATAATCTAGAATGCATAGATCCCATAACTTCCTGTAACTTTAAATGTTTACTCCACTGTGTTTACTTTTCTCATTGCTAATATGCAGTGATAATTTTTTAAAATAATCATTTATATACAATGCAAAACATATTTAAAATTCCAACACTTTAGCTGATGTCATTTTTAATAAAACCTACATTTGGATGTACTCTTTGGAATGAGGTGATGATATATTTGAGGTGGGGCTGAATAAACAGAAACATCACATCAATGACCCTGGGTTAGGTACTAGCTTTGGGATTTTTTATATTTTTGATATTGATTTTACATATCTAGTAAATGATGACAGAGTTGTAATTTTTGGGTGAATTATCCCTTGACTTTATATTTATTCTAGCACATTGTAACATTAGGTTAATAAACACGGTAAAAAAAAAACTGTAAACTGTTCTTTCAGTTATGTTTTTGTTAGTATTAACTGTGACCAAATGTAACCTTATTGTGAAGTGTTACCATTAAACTAACTTAACATATCTCTTTTAACATATCACCTTTTTGTGAAGATATTTTTATGTATATATAATACAGCTTCTTTATGCCATCATAAACTTTAATGTAAGTCAGACATTTTTAAAACTATAAGTTTAAATATTAAAACAATATTTACAGCATATTAAATGAAATATTTTTAATTATCTTTAGTCAGATATATGTGGACCAAATGTCCCAGCAGTAAGAATTCATTAGGGATTGTTTGCATGGTCTCCAGTGCGAGATCCGAACAGTAGTGTTGGGTCCGAGTCCACCTTGTTGAGTTCTCGTCTTTAACCAGCTGAGCAAGAGTGGGAGATGTTTATTAATGTCTTTTTATCTTAGTTTTATGTTGTTACTTATTTTTTTTATCTTTTATGTTACACATAACATGGATTCCTCTGTACTCTGAAAATGTATGTGTCCAAAATGTCTGAGTCCGAGTCCAAGTTCATTCATAATTGTAGTCCAATTATCTCAACTCTACCTAACAGTACTTATGGCGCTGGTACAGACCCAGGGTTTCCAAAACATATCCATCTCTTTCAGTGGAACTAGATGGAATGTGGGAAATCATATGGCTGTGTTGGTGGAAAAGTGGTACAAGAGAGAGAATGGGAAGATTGTAACTCAGTTTGTTAGAGCCGTGTTTGGAAAGCACAGAGAGGCATCAGCAGGCACAGAGAAGGCGCATCTGTATTGCTTCACATTTTCCACTCCTATTAATGACTTCACCTTGTCTGAGCAATCTAACCACACCCTTAAAATGCCCCACCTTTCATTTACAAACTTGTTGGGCTGTGTCTTCATAGAAATAAAACCCACATCAAATGTACAGCCTTGGCAGATGGCAGAAATAGTAAGAGTTGAATGCTATTCTGAAATCAGCCAAATAAATGTAGATAGTGCTGTATACAATACAGCTTGCTTTGAACAGAAGTTTGGCAACTTCACTTACAGTCAATTTCAACTATGTTGACCATATTAGATAGTTCAATCCGTTCCCCATCTATGGAACTAATCGCTCAACAATGGGGAATGCAGCCTGCATGACCGGTGTCTGAAGCACGTGTGAAACAGCACCAATCTATTGGCCCACATGGCCCATGACGTCATAGGCATGGTGCCCGGAAGTATAAAAGGGCACCTGCTAAATACTTCATCCTCTTTGCCGACTGTTTGAAGTGCTTGTGAGAGACCAAGGCAGGTGAGCGGTGTGGAAAGTGTGTGCCTCCGTTCCAGAGGTTTCTGGCACTTGAGGGCACACACAATCTATCTGTCATCTGTTTTGGTCAGGAGCTTGCTCGGTCAGTGCTCCAGGGCTCTGAACACACTCATTGTGAGTGTTATCCAATGAGAAGCTCCATTCACGTTTGTCCCTCTTCTCGAGAGATGAGTGACAAGAGTTTGCGTCTCGCGGTTCGGGTACCGCTGTTGCCGAAGCACGGCGAATGCTCGGATCGCGGGATTCGCGGGATTAAGATGCTCTTTTTGGGTTATCGGATCCCGCGGATAGCGCTCGAGACGAGCAGCGCCTTAAGGAATGTGTGCCTCCTTGTTTGGATTCTAACATTCGAGGGCATGTTCTGCTTTCGCGTTGTCTCGGCAAAAAGCACAAACGTTCAGAGTTAAGCGCTCATCGTGATGAGTCACGGTGTCTAGGCTCCGCTCACATTTGTTCCTATTCCCGAGGGATGCGGAATAAAGTGTTTGTGTCTCGTGGCGCGGTTCTGTCGTTGCTGCGGCACAGTTTATCTCACCTCGCGGTCATCGCTTTGATCTGTGGGATCCGCACACCCTCTCTAAACAGGTTGTCAGATGTCACAGATACTTTGGGTTGGTATGACGATGAAGTGTTAGCACGGAGTCATTTCAGCCCTGATCCTGCGAGATCGTGGGCGGAGCTATATTCAGCTTGGGCTTCCCTTTCTAATATGCATGTTTTTTTGTGTATGGAGAGCCTGGCTGGGCGTGAATATATTTAAATACTCTGTGGAGAGAGGCTTGAGAGTTTTCTCTCCCAGGGTTTTCAGCACCTAGAGTGGTTATGGGGAATGTTTCTTCCTGTGTTAAGCCGGAGTGGAGCCATCTGTGTTAAGCTGGAGTGTAGCCATCTGCGGGTGGTTATGGTCCAGCTCAAGCTTACTTTGCTCTGGAATATGGCGGTCTGAGGGCAGCTATGTTCTAGCCTGGCTTCTTAACTAGGTTGTTTTCCCCTTGGCACAAGTTCTCTCGATTAAGCGCTGAAGTTTTTGTCTAGGAATCTGCTATTCGCGGATAGCTGTGTTTCAGCTCAGAGACTGCTCCCCTTTTTAGGGTTTTTAAATAGTGGTCTCCGTGAGCCCCTTGCATGGACTGTGCTTATCCCGGACTAATGATGTTTATGTGTTCGCTCTTAGCGAATCATTTACTGATGGCCCGGATCTCCCTCTTGTGAGCTCCTGGTCAATACCACAGTGCTTCGCTAGCCTACTGTGGGACTGACACGGATTGGGGACCTCCTTAATATAGCCATCTAAGGGTGGTTATATTCCAGCCATTGTTTTGGCAGGATGGGCTTACTTGAATACAACTATCTGTGGCTAGCTGTGTTCTACTGCAATTGCGGTGAGGCCTCTCATGGACTGGTCCCCTTTTCTAGAGCCTAGCTATCTGAGGATAGCTATGTGTTAGCTCAGTGATTGCTCCCCTGCTTGAGCCTGTACCTAGACAGTGTTGTCTCCCCTCTTTGGGTCGTAAGTAGACAACCCACTCTTTGTGGTCTGGGCAGTTTTCAGTCGGTCCCCCTTCTGGTAGCCCTTCCTAGGTACATAGCTATCTGAGGATATCTATGTGCTAGCTCAGTGACTACTTCCCTTCTTAGGGTCTTTAAGGAGCAGTCTCCTTGAGCCCTTGCCTAGACAGTACTATGTCCCCTGCTAGGGTAGTAAGTAGATAGCCCACTCTCTGTGGTCTGGGCAGCTCTGCAGGAAGGCTATCTAGGTTTTGTCTATTGTGGGACTGACACGGGTTTGGGACCTCCTTGGTATAGCCACCTGAGGGTGGGTATATTCCAGCCATTGTTATGGCAGTTCACGTCTTACTTAATTACAGCTATCTGAGGCTAGCTGTGTTCTACTACAGTTGCGGTGAGCCCTTTCCTGGAGTGGTCCTCTTTCCTAGAGCCTAGCTATCTGGGGATAGCTGTGTTCTAGCTCAGCAGCTACTCTCTTTACCTGCGATTTATGTAGTGATCTCTGAGCTCCTTCAGAGGCTTTCTAGTTAGCCTCTTCAGTGGTCTTGTGTATCCAGGCTAACTATCTAGATAGCATAACTATCTGAGGATAGCTGTGCTCTTAACTTGGGTGAGATGTTCTCCTTGATCTGTTCGGGTTCCCTGTTTCTGCCAAGTTGCGTGAGCGGCCCGTGGCGTCAGTGGCATGGCCCCTTTCTAAGGAAAAGCTTGGTGTATGTTTGTCACTTCCTTGGTGCTCTCCCACCAGGTGGACAGGCATGCGCCTCGCCACGGCGTGGTTGGATTTCGTTCCCCATTGTGCCCCCTAGGGGGAGCAGCATCTTGTTCCCTCTCGGGGAACCATGGTTACATGCGTAACCCGAGATGTTTTCCTGAATAATAATTAAATTTAGGCCCCTACGAAGCACGCCAAAGGCTGACAGAG